CCTGTATGAAGTTTTTCGAAGGTCATAGGTCATTATGTGACCTAATTACACAGCGCAATAATATCTACATAAAAAGACTTACTCTACTTAGCAATATAGCATGTTTTCATGCATAAAAATGTACAAAATATGCAAGTAAAATAATAATCATTTTATTTACAATGTAAACGAGTAATTAATACAGTTCTTGATCGATTTTACATAGAGAATAGAAAACTATGTGTTACAAGTTTCATATCTGAGCTGCATATAGTCTCAACGTTACCCTTATTTCTCTTGTAGACCTCTGAATGCTATAATTTTTTTTCATTAAACTTTACTCACAATAAATTTGAAAATCTGTTGGAAAATATCAATGTAATGCAATCACGCCACAAACAGCTGACAAACACTGCACTTCGGAAGTTCGGTAGGCACACCTTCATCATCGAGATTGTTGTCTTAACAATGTAAGCTGTCGCCAGTGTCTCCGTGTCAACATCGTAATAAATATGCCTTACTGAAATCATAGATTTTATGTTTCTGATCACATTTTATACATGTACTTGATTTCAAGTTAACTGGTCCAGACAAGTGTCTCCATCCATCCCTTTCCGACCGAAATTCTTCCAACTTTTTATTATCAAACATCGGACATGTTTCTTGTGTTTTTTTAACATCAAATATGGGTTCTCATGAAAACAAAAATTCCCAGACACCAATATGCTCACTATAATTGATCACAAGTAGCCTTTCACAGAATATTCCCTTCAAAACAGAATCCTTTGCCAGGTGAATTTGAAGCATAACCGCTTTTCAAGCTGACTTACACCTTGCGTAATTTGTCAAAATCTACGACGAACAGTTAGTGCAATATTTATATTCAATTTTCCGTCTCAAATGTATATATAAGTAATAAATAACAAGTTTAAAAACTTCACTGGGAAATGAAGTCGGTCGGTACGTGATCAAATCTTCTGAGAAGGCCTTCGGCCTTCACAGGATTTGATCACGTGACCGACCCACTTCATTTCCCAGAGAAGTTTTTAAACTTGTTATTTATTTCTTAAATAATGACAATAAGAATTTGTAAAAATTCTACTTAAAAGACTTCATATTTTTGCTCTTCAATAAATCTAGAGTTTAGGAGATTATGGGGGTGGGGTTGGGGGGCTTTGCCCCCTGGATACTCCCAGGACTTTACTCTGGAACCACTAGGGGCTTCAAAGTAACCCCTGGACCCCATGCCTAATCAACTGTTCACTACCTTAAAATCCTGTAGCTCCAGATCCTGTGGTCTGTCATAAGTAAAATTTTTAGTTCATTGAACATCTTGTTTTATTGTCTACAGAGTTCTCATTATTGCAAGAATCTACAATGGACTCTTTGGAGGACATATCCTTGTTAGTGAGAAAATGTGGGCATTTCTAAAATCGGACTGGATTTTTAGCTCACCTCAACAAAGTCGAGATGAGCTTATGCTGTACCCCAATATGCTATACCTCAGTATGGGCATCGGCGTTAGTGTCGGCATCCTGGTTAAAGTTTTAGGAGCAAGTCCATTCCCAAGTAACTATAAGCCCTACCTGGACCAAACTTGTTTCGATGATGCATATATGGATGGACACTACCATACTTGCTTCAGATTCTGGATCTGAGCTAGATTTTCCAGATGAGTGACCAGGTTTAAGTTTTTGGAGCTTGTCCATTCCCAAGTAACTATAAGCCCTACCTTGACCAAACTTGCTTCGATGATGCATCCAGGGATGGACACTACCACACTTGCTACGGATGCTGGATCTGAGCTAGATTTTCCAGATGAGTGACCAGGTTTAAGTTTTTGGAGCTTGTCCATTCCCAAGTAATTATGAGCCCTACCTGGAACAAACTTGCATGGATGATGCATCTAGGGATGTACATAACCAACCTACTTCAGATGCTGGATCCGACCTAGATTTTCCAAATGAGAGAATTTTAGCCATATTTTAACCAAATTAGCATGGATGATATATCTAGGGATGACCACTTCCAGATTTGCTTTGGATTCTGAATCTGACCTACATTTTCCAGATGAGTGACCAGGGTAATTTCTTTTGAGTAGCTATATAATATTATGGCCTGTTATAATTTAACTTGCATAGATGGTGCATCTAAGGATGAAACTTCCAGACTTGCTTTGGATGTTGGAACTGACCAAATTTTCTTTATTAGTAAACAGTTTAAAAGTTTTTTGAGCAGGTCTATTTCCAAGTAACTGTAAGTTCCACTTAAACCAAACTTGCATGGATATTGATCTTTGGATGTACAATAACTAGAAAAAAAATATGATGTGAAATTTACCTTACTTATAGACAACATTTGTCGAAGTGAGCTTCGTAATCTTTGATTACCCATCAGAAATTGTCTTAAATATATTGAATTAAAAGTGATAAAGTTTAAGAAATATGAAGGTCATAAACACTGGAAAATAAGCTATTGCAATAAAGGTTTTTACTGTTGAACTGATGAAACCATAGCAACCTGCATATACATGTACACTGAAATATACAGATCAGAAGAAGAAGTGCATAGTAAAAGTTTAATGACACATTAAGCTGTAAAGGTTACTTAAGAGAATGATTTATTAACAAACAGATGTTGTAAACAACAGGTCTACAATCAAAATGTCACAGTCACTAATGAATTTCACAATCATAGACAGTTCAAGGTTTATTGAAGATCAATATCTTGTATGTCCCCCTTGATAACCAATGACAACTTGATGATGTCTTCCCATGGATGTAATTAAGTCTCTTAAAAATTTTCCAGGAATTTCATTCCACTTTTACTTTGGAACTGTGTCCAGCTGTTGCAGAGGTTGTCTTTGATGGATTTGCCTATCCATGCGAGCTCAATGGAATTTAATTCTGGCAATTTAGATGATAATGGCAGAATCTGGATATTGTGTTTTTGCTAAAAACCACTTGTCAGATGAGCTGTATTTGGCCTTGCATTGTTATGTGGAAATACAACTCCACATTGCTACATTATTGAAAAACATTTGATTTGACAGTAGGACTTGTCAGTGTACCTTTGTGCCATTAAAGTCCTTTAAGACTTTTTGAGAACCATACTGATCCTGCCTCTGTAGGATACTGCTGCCCAAATCATAACACTAATGCCATCAAACTTATCATCCTTCCGGATGAAGTTTTCAGCAGAGATGCCGGTACACTCTGACTCTTTAGTCAGTCCAGTGCAATAAAAATTTGGACTTGTTGCTAAACCAGACTGTTTGTCAGCATTGCTGTGGACAAACTCTGTGAGTCTGAGACAATAAAAGACAATGTTGGCAGTGTTGCGGAGTCTAGACAGTGCCATGAACAGATCTTCTGGTTCTATTCCCAGCATTCGGTATATTGATTGCTGGTCTAATGTTCTGCACATCACAGGGATAGATGATGCTGTAAATGAAGCAGTTGTGAAACAGAAAGATGACAAACATTGAAGCCATCCTGTGCTGTTGCTGTCAAGCATGGTCTGCCTGACCTTTCGAAATCATTTGCTGAACCACGCTGTTGGTATCTTTTTCATTACTTTGTGCATCATTAAAATCTCTTGCAACTGTAGTGCACTTCCTTCCATTTGTTGTGTTGTGCATCTTCCAAATGCAGCATTTCTTAAGTAACTTCCACATTCAATGAATTCAAACTCAAGAACTCCTATGGTACTTCAACAGGTTATAGATTTTGGAGCAGGTCCATTCCCAAGAAACAATATGGGGACAAAACATGCAGGGATGATGATGCATCTAGGGATGAACACTGCAAAACTTGCTTCAGATGATGCATCTGACCTTCAATTTCTTGATGAGTGACCAGTTTAAAAGTTTGTGAGCAGGTCCATTCCCAAGTAACCATGAAGGCTACCTGAAACTTGCATGGATGATGTAACTAAGTATTCACACTACCAGATGTACTTTGGATGCAGTATCTGATTTGCATTTGCTGAGTGATTGAACAGGTTTAAGTTTTTTTAAGTAGGTCTATGTCAAAGTAATTAAAAGCCTACTTGGACCAAATTTGCAAGGATCAATAAAATTTTTAGAGCAGGTCCATTTCCAAGTAACTGTAAATCCAACCCTGACCAAACTTGCAGGGAAGTAACATTTTAGGATGCAAACTACAAAAACATTCAATTGTTGCTAGTCTTTGCCTTACTATTTGTTAAACCTTTGATGAAAATCATCTTTACTTATGGAATTCTAGCAGACAAACTGCATAATTGTAATGAACACTTTCTCCTCTACAAAGTTGTAAAATTCATGCCCCCTGGCCCTTGGTTCAGACTCTAGGGTTGGGCTAAGTTGGTCATATATTGATTATTGAAAGTACATTACTTCTTTGAAAATATTCATATACTCATGGAAATATAATAGGCAAATCTTTTGCCTGATTATAATGACCAGCTAGACCTCTACAACAAATTAGAAAATCTATGCCCCTCAATCCAAGGTTCAGACAAAAGTCACCATACCGGACATAAATTGAAATTTTATTCAGTGTTCCTAAATTTCTCACTCTTGCCTTGAGCTTCTAGGAGACAAGCTGCATGAATATGATAATGAATATAGAGTCGATCCTCACCAAACCACAATTTTTGTAACAATTGAGTCCAGAATTTCAGTTCGAGATGGAGCAAAAGTGTTCATAGGCTGAAAAATTTGTTATACTCGGGTGACCTTCAAGGCTCATGGGATTCTTAATAAGGATGCTGTAAAAATTGTATCATTTAATGGCAAAATGCAAATACCGTAAACAAAGACTGTCCCATTGATTTCATGCAAGGACATTTATATGTGGCTTTACATTTTGCCCTTTTCCTATCTTATGTGATAATAGCCTTACTCTGGCCCTTAGAATTACATGATGTAATTATTTAATGTAAGCAGGGAACTCTTATTCAGTCTTGTAAATAGACATCCATTGGGTAATTCATGACTTTATGATGTGCAAATGATGTTATTTTTGACTTGTTTTTAGGATGCTGTCATTGTTAGCACACTGGTGCAGGGCACCTGCTTTGGAGAGTCCATCTTGACCAATAAGCCCAGATATGGCACAGTAACCACCAGAGAGTTTACAGAGTTAATTCGTGTAGAACAGAAAGACTTCAAAATCCTTTGGGAGGTAAATCAACTCAAATTATAGTTTTTAGCTCTACTTGTCAAAGATCATCAGAATTTCAGTGATGGTAAGTGTCTGACATCCATCTGTCTGTCTGTCTATAATGCTTATCCTCTTACAGTTGAATAAAATTGGTACAAATGGACACTACATGAAAATACATAGTTATTCATTATATTGTATTTTCAATGAATGGTGCTGGCATGGATCCAGAAAAAATAGAAATTTCTGTGAAATTTTTTCAACACTCTACCCCTCCTATATTTTTTATTAGCTCACCTGAGCTGAAAGCTCAAGTGAGCTTTTCTGATCACATTTTGTCTGTAGTCCGTCCGTCCATCTGTCTGTAAACTTTTCACATTTTCGACTTCTCCAAAACCACAAGGTCAATTTCAACTAAACTTGCCATAAAGCATCCTTGGGTGAAGGGGATTCAAAATTGTTCAAATGAAGGGACACACCCTCATTCAAGGGAAGATAATTTCAGAAATACTGAAAATTTGGTTGCATGTTTTAAAAATCTTCTCAAGAACCACTGGGCCAAAAAAGTTGAAACAAATAGAAAACCTTCTTTACATAGTGTAGATTCAAGTTTGTATAAATGATGACCTCTTGGGGTAGAGTGGGGCCACAATGGGGCATCAAAGATTTAAATAGAAATATATAGGAAAAAAAATCTTTACAAATCTCAAAAAAAAGCAAAGGTGTGATTTGTCGTATTTATATTGAAGCATTCCCAGGCAGTGAAGATTCAGATGTGTTCAAACCATGACCCCTGGGGGTAGGATGGTGTCACAATGTTGGATCAAAGTTTTACATAGAAATGTACGAGGGGCATTTCAAAAGTTCTGGCAACTGGTATATAAAATTTTAACTACATTACGGATTAAAATGACTCTGATACCACTGTAAAGCTTAGGCAAATATGCATTAGTAGTGACGTCATTTTACATTCAAAATGACGTATAGGTCTGCTAAAATGACGTCATAATTAGGTATACTCTGTATACTGGGCGTAAAAATGACTGATAAGAAGAACAAGTTTTTTGTTGAGCAAAGAGCATGTTGCAAAATTCGCTCATTGCTTGGCTTTACGGCAACAGAAATAAAAGCCGATTTAGATGTAATATATAGAGAGCATGCTCTTTCATATCGAGCAATAGCAAGATGGGTAGTTCAATTTAAAGAGGGTAGAAAATCAACTGAAGATGACCCCCGTTCGGGGCGTCCAGTTTGTGCATATGGCGAAAAAGAAATCGTCACTGTTCAAAATATGATAGCTGATGATGCTAGATATACAGTTGAAGAAATAGCAGACTTAACTAACATTAATTCGTCAGCAGTTTTTCGTATTTTAAAGGAAAACTTAAAGCTTAGGAAAGTCTGTGCTAGATGGGTGCCGCATCTTCTCTCAGAAGAGCAAAAGCGCATCCGGGTAGAAATGGCTTCACAGTTACTAACAATTTATGAAGATTGTGATCAAAGGTGAATAAATGAGATTGTAACTGGTGATGAAACATGGATATATTTTTTTGAACCGGAAACTAAGCTCAATAATAAAGTTTGGATCGGTGAAAATGATACAAGGCCTTAAATTGCATGCAGAAACCGGTCTGTCCGGAGAGTAATGTACGCCTTATTTTTTTATTCTAAAGGCCCTGTTGCTCAAGTTCTGGTTCCAGAACACAGCAGTGTTACTTGTCAATTTTAGAATGTCTTGTCTCAGGTTGTAGAGCACTATAAAACGACCCGACCAACAACCAGTACTAGAGGAATAAAGCTCCTCAATGACAACGCACCTTCCCATAGATCACAGGTAGTAACCAAATATTTAAAGGAAAATGGTATTGCCGTTTTACCACATCCACCCTACAGTCCTGACCTAGCTCCATGTGATTTTTGGTTGAATGTCGTTATCAAAGAAGCCCTCCGAGGACGGCGATTTGAAAGTCGTCATGCAGTCGGAAGTGCCGTATTCCAGAGTATGAAGCAAATACCGAAAGAGGACTATAGGGCAGCATTTTCCATGTCGATTTCAAGACTGAAAAAGTGTGTCCAGGTCAACGGAGACTATTTTGAGGGATTGATATAATTTAATTTATGATAATGACACTCATTAATTTACCGCACACCAGTTGCCAGAACTTTTGAAATGCCCCTCGTATAATAAAAAATCTTGGAAATCTTCATTTAGAAATCTTCATTTTGAGACATTTGAATAAAATAATAAATTTAAGAGTTATCCTTCCTGGCTGAGGATCGGATATCCTTAAGTCATACTGATATGGAAGCATTCTCGGTAGTGTAAATTGAAGATTGTTCAAAAGATGATCTCCAGGGGTTAGGTGGGGCCAAAGTGGGGGATCAAAGTTTTACATAGGAATATATAGGGAAAAAAGTTTGTTAAAAAATTTGTCCTTTTTTCTAGCCAGTGTGCTCAGGTGAGCGATGTGACCCATGGACCTCTTGTTCAATTTCAGGTATACAGACTATAAAAAGTTACAGGATCTATTATTTGTTTATTGATTTGGAAAAACTATGTTAGCTTGCTATAAAATCTTGTGTGGCATTTTTTCACAATTCACATCCAATTTCAAAAAAAAAAAAGTACAGTGTATAAGTAAACTACATTAAGATTTCAATAAAACTTGATACAAAAACTACAGTAAAAATCCAGATCAAATTCATCATATGGTTTTTGATTTCAACAAACATATTTAATACTAAAAAATAGACATTTCTGTGAATTTCGCTCAAAGTGCTAGTCCTCCTTAACTAAACTTCACCATGAAACATAATTTTATATTATTTGTTCAAGATTTAAGTGAATAGTTTTGCCTGAATTACAAAAAAGGAAATCTGTGATACTCTTTTAGAATGCTTCTACAGTTTTGGTTTGATTTGAATATGACAAGTTTTAGAAAGCTTCAAGATACATGATTCAGTTAAAGTGAAGCTAGTAAAAACAAGAGTTCCAATCCAAACGCAACTTTTCTCTTCCACTATGAGGAGTCCATACCAGTAGAGCTACAGTTTCACTAGGAACTGATTAAACTGTTCAGTGACAATACATTTTTTATGATGTTTTCAGAAATGTTCTTAATATTTTGAAGGAAAGGAAGCAATTTCAGTTGGGGGGGGGGGGGGGAGGGGGCAACCAAACATTTTCAGTTTGGGGAAGCACTATCAAACAATATTCCTTTACAAGAAACAAACACCAATATCCCCCTCCCCACCCCCACAGAAAAGTCATAATTCTAGACAAGAATTGTATGGAAAAGCTATAAACTTATAATCATAATAACAAGTCCATCTCTCTCCTGTGTATTATTAAAAATTTGTGTGTGTATAATTCCTAATTTCAATGTACTAGATCCATGAATATATATTTTAAAGATTATGAGTGTGACTTTAAATGTTGCAGCTTCATATGTTATAAGACATATAACATTAAAACTATATAAAATAAATCAATATAAAATATATAAAATTAATGTGTGACATTTGATGGTGTTTACTAAAATTATAAACAATTGTGAAAATCTGGTTTGATTTGCAAAGTATAAACTTATCAATGAGGGAGTTTAAAAAAACTCTTCCACAGTGTGGAGTGTGTTATTTAACTTAGTCAAGGCTTATTTTATCTTTGTCAGAAAAAATTATCTAAAAATGGATTTTTTTTTTAAATCAGCTTACTCAGTCAGGAAGCATATGCTTAACCAGCAGATGAAAGATTTCATAGATAAATATTTCTATACACTCTAAATGAAGGTCTTTTTTTAATGAATTGTGCACTCTTTATTTATCTGTCTACCGTGAAGGACACTCATTTGACCTTCAAATACAATAAAAGAGTGGTATCATCATGATTAATTTTTGAATAAATATTGGGGGAAAAGAAAAACATTCCTTTTGATTAAGCTACCATATCTGTAAGCTGTATGGGTATTTTTCTAAAGTGCAGCCAATGATATCACTTAATTCAAAATCTTGTCAAATTTGAATTTGGTACATTGTGTGACGTATTGCAGATGTTGTGGTTTTTTTGTATATCCTCTACAATTGATTACAAAACCATATGGAAGCAATTTTCTTAGATTCCACTGCAGTTTGAAATTGATGAAAAACAAAAGCAGCAAGAATTAAGTATGCAGAGCTTTTTTCTGTGAATTGATGCAAGCTGGAAAATATATTTAACCTGGAATATTTTCTCTGCATTAATTGGTCATTAAATTCCTACTGGTATTTTCTCCCATGGAGCTGGATTAAAACTTCACAGAGTGTCCATTTCTTTGAGCCTTAAATGTAGCCAGATGAACTCTTGATGACAGCTTTAGTGATTTTTCTTCTTATAAAAAAGCTCCACTGGAAGAGATGTATGTTGGCTGTATACTGCTCATAATAGGGTTGGTAATTTAGCCTCCTGTCCATGTGAAAATTGCTCCTTTCCTCTAATTCAAATGCTGGCTAGGGATTGAATTGTGCCTCACTTAATATTCAATGTGTTGATGTGACAAGTGATATTGATCTTCCATGTTGAAAAAAATTGGAGAGAATTTTCTGTACCTGCAGATAATGATGACTATCTCCATAAATTTTGACAGTTTGGAGATGCAGTTTGGATTGGAGATAGACCTGTTACTGAAAGCAGTCTAATAACCACTGTGTTGACATTCATTGATGAGACAGAGAGAGCAGATATTTCTAGACAAGTCATGGAGGACAGACAATGCATTTCATTTCCATCAATATGATAGACATTTTTACCTGATTACACAGCTGAGGGTTTAATCTCAGAGTTCACAGTTTTACGAGGCTTCTTTATCAGAACTCTGTGTGTAGCCCCTTTATATACTTTTCAGTGCCCACTAAGTAGCCTATAGGCTTCAGAGCTTTTACTACCTTCTCATACATCAACCTCATCATTTGCAATAAATCTCTCTACAGCAAAGAAGAAAAAACATCTTAATCATCAAAAATGGTGATATTAATATCTTTTCTGCTGAAAATACTGTGAGTTATAAAAATCTCAAGGGAATTCCTTATTTGTTCATTCTCTGTTTTAGTATGTGCTAAATTTGTTCGTGAAGGGTTATTAATGATCTTGGTTTTTCTTGCATACCCTTAGTTTACCGTAATAAAACTCTTGCCAGACGTACACTAATAGAATTACTGAGGCTCTTGGTGAGAGGATCATGAAAGTGAAACGAACACAGAGCTTGTCTCACTCTTGGAAGACAGTGGGCAAATTAAAATTGATGACCACGTTTAAAAGAACACTAAGGCCCCGAAAGTTGTCTACCCCTGACTTAATTCATTTGAGTAAGGAGCAAGTGTTCTGCTCTGATGGTTTTGACATTTGTCTGGGTTATCCTGTATATGAGATAGACTTGAAACAAAATGGGCAAGAAGTCTGTATTTATTCTTTGCAGGGGAGTAAGAAATTGCTTGAAGGAGTTATCACCCCTTTGGAAAGGCTGTCAACAACAGGTGAGTTTACAGAGGCAAGAAAATCCAGAAATACATGATCAAAGAAACAAAAGGAAGTCCAGAACTAGATAACTCATGCACTCAGAAGCCAGGTTTCTCAGTTTCTTCAATGGAAAAATAATTAAGTAAAAAAATCAAATAGCATACAATGCATCAGATTTATGTCTTCACAATGAGCAAAATGTACTTATCTTAAAAATATAGAATTGCATGCATAATGAAAAAATAATTTAATGAAGAATATTATATATCTGACTACAAATATAATTGTACATTGTTAAACACTTAAAATATTACTGTCACAGCCAACCAGTTGCAGTATTCCCCTGCTTTCTCCAGACCAGGAAAACGTAAATCCTCGACAGCAGCTCGATATAATGGCCAACCTAACCCTGCAGCTCCAATCACCAGTGTATGTATAACCATTTCAACAAACTTGTATATCAGAGGAAAATGAATGTACCTTACAACAAAAGTATACACGGTGTTAAACTAACTAATCCTCTTTGCCTTGAGAATCTCTGTTCTGTTGATATTAATTTTGTGTGTTCCATTTTTTTTCTTGAACTGTATGTCATCCCTAATGAGCTAGATTCGCCAAAAGTCTTATTTGGTCCTTTTAAATTCTGAAAAATCAAACTTTTATTTTTTATGGGGAATGCATTAAAATCTATTTTCTATTGAAAATTATTTGATTTTTTTTTGCTTATATATATATATATATAGAGAGAGAGAGAGAGAGAGAGAGAGAGAAAGAAAGATAGAGGATATACAATGTTTTGTAGTTGGATATGGAATTTATTTCATGAGTGGAACAGGATTTTTTGATATTTTCATGAGTGCGAAGCAAGAGTGAAAATATAAAAAAAAAAAATCCTGTCTCTCGAGTGAAATAAATTCCATATCCAACTACAAAATGTTGAATTTTCTGTTTATTACATTTTGTTTGATTTTCCCTTTGCCTCTGTCCATAAACCTAAAGCAAGGCTTTAGGTCTATGCTCTAGTCATAGGCTGTGATGTCATAGTTGAGCAGTTGAGATGTCACAGCTAAGATTGAAAACATTGTAACATGGATTTTAGCAACATATTTGGGAAGAATATTGGCAGTATTTAGTCTCTATCTCTATTGACCAAACTTGCATGGAAGATACATATAAGGATGCACACTACTGGATTTGCTTCGGATGCTGGATTTAACCTACATTTTCCAGATGAGTGATCAGGTTAAAGTTTTAGAGCAGGTCTCATTTCCAAGTAACTATAAGCCCTATGTTGACTAAATTTGCATGGATGATACATCTAAGGATGCACAGTACTGGACTTGCTTCGGATGCTGGATCTGACCTACATTTTCCAGATGAGTGACCAGGTTAAAGTTTTTAGAGCAGGTCTCATTTCCAAGTGACTTTAAGCCCTATGTGGACCAAACTTGCATGGGTGATGCATCTATGGATGCACACTACTGGACTTGCTTCGGATACTGTATCTGATCTACATTTTTCAGATGAGTGTCCAGGTTAAAGTAAACTATAAGGGCTATCAGAACCAAACTTGCATGGATGATGCATCACAGGATGAACACTCTCAAACTTGCTTTAGATGCTGGATATGACTTACATTTTCTGGATGAGTGACTAGTTTAGAGTTTTTAGGCAAGTCCATTCCCAAGTAACTGCAAGCCCTATCGGACCAAAATTGCATAAATGTTATATCTAGGGATATGACACTACTAGATTATTAGTTTGGAACTTTGCCTTACATTTGACAACATTTGTTGAGTTGAGCTGACTGTAATCTCTGATTACCTATGTTTAAATTGAGGGTTGTGCTCATATTTGAATTTTTTTGTTGAATGTACTGAAACACACCAGTTTCCTGTAAAATGCAAGAACATTGCAGGAATATACTCAGAAATTCATGTGATACCATTTTGATTTCACATGACTTATCCACAGTCCTCATCAATATCTACTTGAAGAAATGTTTTAGATATAGTTATGGACTCTCCTTAGGATTGAAATTACACTTGGACTTGAACATCTTTACCCACTACATGTAGTACAAAAAAAGTTGTTTTCTGTAATGTCACTTTCCCTTTACTGACAGAAGTACATCAGGGGATTAATTTGATTTTTTTCAAATGGTTGTAAAACAGTGGGAAAATACATTAAAAATTGAAGCCTATCCTTGTCTTTACTATCAAGAGAGCAATAAGTGGGTTCTAGTATTTTGAAGCCTTATATTGATGATGAAAAAAATTCCCTCATTGCTCAAATTATTGACAAGGGTGTAAAAATTGCTGAATTATCTATGATCTCTGCACAAATAACACTGAAATGATTTCAAAAGAAAGCACTTTATTGCAGTGAAGAAAAAAATGTGATGACAGATCCACATTTGTAACTTGAGTAAAATCAAACCTGATCAATTTAAGAAACTGAATCCCAGATCTGTTGTAAGATGAAATTTTATCATTCAAAATCAATATTTCACTTGGGCCAAGTTTGTACCTCAGCCAGCTACATTTATATGACTTCCTATAAAACTGATCATGCATAACATACTGAAAACACTATAATGTTTTTCTTCTCATAAATATTTGGTGACTTAATGCTTTTTTCATTTTATTTTTTTATTATGTCGAGGATTCAATATCATAAATAGTAGAATTTATTGTGATAATGTACAGTTATATTTGATTTCAACTGTTTTGAAAGCTGAAGTTCTGTATATTCTGCTTCCTTCAGAAATGACAGGTTTGTTGACAATTATGTACCGACAACAATTACAGATTCCCTCCGAAAAACTCAAGAGAGCTGGCCAAGTTTTACGGACCGTTCTTTTGACTCGTGCTCCTCACATGGTGAGGGACAGGAAATACCATTTACGGACGTACAGAAAATGCATGGTGGGAACAGAAATGGTAGAATGGTTACTGCAGCAGAGTCCAATTGTTCACTCCAGAAATCAAGCAGTGGGCATCTGGCAGGCTCTGTGTGAAGAGGGGATCATTGTACACGGTAAGGTTTGTCTTGGTATAATGAGTAATATAGTTACTGAACAGCTAAGCATTGTTTTATAAATGGTGATAGGTACATGTATATCATAAATTGAAAAAAAAATGCATGTATATGATAAAAGAATTAATTTTTATGCCCCAGTAATTGAAAATTTGGGGGCATATAGTTTTTACTCTGTCCATCTGTCTGTTTGTCCACAGAAACTTTAACCTTGCCCATAACTTTTGATTGGTTGGAGCTAGGGTTTTCATATTGTTCATATTGTTTCATATTTATTCCTTGTGACAAGACCTTTCTTTGGGTACCAACATATTTGACTTCTTGACCTTGACCTTGGATTTGACCCACTTTTGCAGAATGTTACCATACTTTAACCTTGTGATAAGTCCTATCCTTGGGTACAAATATTTTTAACCTTGACCTTGATCTTGGAGTTTGACCTTTTTTTAAAAACTTTAACCTTGACTATAGTTTCTGAATGGTTGCTGCAAGGGCTTTCATATTTTTGACATGTGTATTCCTTTTGACAGACCTTTTCTTGGGTACCAATATTTTTGATCTCTTGACCTTGGGGTTTGACTTTTATTTGAGAAACTTGAATCATGGGAATGAGCTGCCATATGGGGACATCAGTATTACACAAACATCTTGGTTTTTAGCTCACCTGAGCTGAAGACTCAAGTGAGCTTTTCTGATTGAAATTTGTTTGTTGTCGTTGTCGTCGTTGTTGTAAACTTTTCACATTTTCATCTTCTTCTCAAGAACCAAAGGGCCAATTTCAACCAAACTTGCCACAAAGTATCCTTCATTAAAGGGGATTCAAGTTTGTTCAACTGAAGGGCCACACCTTCTTCCAAGGAGGATAATTACAAATTCATGAAAAATTAATGGCATCATTTAAAAATCTTCTTCTCAAGAACCAATTTGCTAGATATTATGAAATTATGTGGAATCATCCTCAGGATGTGTAGATTCAAGTTTGTTCGTAGGAATACATTAGGGAAAATCTTTAAAAAATTTCTTCTCAAGAACAGCAAAGCCATGATTGGTCATATTTATATGGAAACATCCTCAGGTAGTGTAGATTCAAGTTTGTTCAAATCATGACCCCTGGGGGTAGGGTGGGGTCACAGTGGGCGATCAAAGTTTTACATAGCAGGGATCGACGTTAACAGTTGTCCGATTGCCTTGGACAAGTAAATTCTCAGTTCAGGCAAGTGAAACTGTCGAAGTACTTGTCCGATCGGGCAAGTGAATTTTTTTCATACAAATGTATATATCATTTTGTTTCATTAATTTGTAAATAAACAATAAACTGAACATTTGATTTCCGCCAGGTACCTGACTGACATTGTTTTTGCATTTGGAATTCCTTGGTAGCGTTTCTAGATTATACCGTTCATTTAAAAATCAGGTTCATTTTTCTGTTTTCTTTCGTGGTAAAATACGCTAGAACCTCCAACAACTTTGTTATCTACTTCGTACTTATTTAGATTATTTATTTACTTACAAATAAGTAACATGATATATCCTGATCAAATGTACGTTTCGTAGCAACTATCTTCTTTTAGCGTTGCTTTACAGATATCTCTGAAAATTACAATTCACAAAAGGATCCTAGAGAAAATAATTTTTAAAAATGTGAATTTTATGAAAAGGAAATGGAGGATTATTGCTGCATGGCAGTATGTGTTAAGAGGTTAAATTGACAAGTACATTGGTATACATTTAATTATAAGTGTTTATGATAACTTAGCATAACATAATTTTCTTCTTTCCTAATTTTGGACAACCAAGTTTTGCATTTGGACAAGTCAAAGTTTGAGATCACTTGCCCGAAAGGCAAGTGAATCTGAAAGTTAAAGTCTATCCCTGCATAGGAATACATAGGTTAAATCTTTAAAAATCTTCTTCTGAAGAACAGCAAAGCCATGATTGGTCATATTTATATGGCAGCATTCTCAGGTAGTGTGGGGCCACAGTGGGCGATGAAAGTTTTGCATAGGAAAACATAGGAGAAATCTTTAAAAATCTTGTTCTCAAGAACAGCAAGGCCATGATATGTCATAATAAAATAAAATCATCCTCAGGTAATGTAGATTGAAATTTGTTCAAATCATGACCCCCCAGGGGTATAGAGGGGCCATAATAGGGGATCATAGTTATACAAAGGAATATAAATGATAAATCAAGAACAGCAAAGCCATTATTAGTCATATTAACTCAAAAGCATCCTTAGGTGGTGTAGATTCAAGTTTGTTCAAATCATATGCCCCCCCCCCCCCCCCCCACACACACACACACACCATTATATTTAAACTTTTCAATACTGAACTGATTTCTGTTTTTTCCTAGCCAAAGTGCTCAGGTGAGTGATATGGGCCATGGGCCTCTTATTTTTAATAATTATGTACAAGAAAAGTTGTAAATAGTCTTTGTTGTGTAGGACTTCTTTACATCACATACCAAAAATTTTTATATTGAAGAGTAAACTACACAAGGCAGTATCAAGAATTGTATATATATGCTTTGTTGATTTAAACATATCAAATAAAAATATCTGAGTAAGAGTACTCCAAAGAAAAGTGCACCATGAGTAAGATGTTACCAAATAAACAAATTTACTGATAACTTCCTCAAGAAAACTACTACTGAGTTCCTATTGATAATCGATTGCTTAAGTGCAAACCAAGGATTTTACAATTAGACATTTCCCTAATTGATCTTTTGGGTGTAAAAATACCATTTTCAGGGAAATGACTGTCTTTTATATTGAATTACGTTAGATTATATTAAGACTGACATTTTCTGTACATTATGCGAAGGAAATCTCATGGATGTACTGTCAGGCAGCTCTTCTCACTAATGAAGTTCACCATTGTCCTTTGCAGATAATGACCTAAATTTTCTTAAATTCCCAGGAGTTAGACCTCTGGTGTTCATATTTTACTGCCAACAGAGCTGTAGGAGTTATTGTTCTTTCACAAGCAAAGCTTTTTAATAAATGTTACCTTTTTTTGATGATTGTCTTATTATCTCCAAGTTTGTTGAACTTATTGCCCCTGTGGGTAGGGTAACACAGTTTTATATGGTGGGAATCTATTGGGAAAAAAATCTAAAAATTTTCTTCTCCAGAACAGCAAGACTATGATTAGTGATATTTGATATGCAAACATCCTTCAGAAGTGCAGATTCAAACATGATTAAATCATGGCCATGGTAGGATAGGGCCACAATAATTTTTACTTTATAGTAAAAAAAAGATTAAAAAATCTTTAAATCTTCTCAAGAAGAGGAGTGCAGTGATAACTTATATTAATATGCAGGCATCCTTGGGTAATGCAGATTCAAGTTTGATCAAATGATGACCCCCAGGGGTAGAGTGGGGCCACAATGAGGAATAAGGAAAATTTTACATGGGGAAAATATAGGAAATTAATATTTCAAGAGTAGCAGAGCCGAGAATGTCAAAGTCAGAATTTATTTTTTCCAGTATATAGCCAGAATTTTGTATTTCAGTATGTAGAGAGCATCAGTTCAAGGACAAGTACCTGTTTTACCGATTTTGTGAGGATGACCAGGGGGTGGGAACCATACCAAACCAGGTCCAGAAGAAGGAGTGTGAAGAGGAACTACAGGACACTTTGATTACACTGGCTCAGATTGGACCAGACGCCATGATGAGGATGATCCTCAGAAAACTGTAAGCCATCAAAAATAATCTGTGTTCATTTTTAGCTAAAAGCTGAAAGTTCAAGTGAGCTTTTCTGATCACCCAGCATAGGTCTGTCTGTGTGTACATCCATCTGTCTATAACCTTTTTAACATTTTCAACTTCTCAAGAACCACTGGGCCAATTTGAAGCAAAGCTGGCACAAAGTATCTTTGGGTAAAAGAGATTCTAAATTTTTAAATAATCAGAGGAGATAATCAAAAAAAGGCAAAAATAGGTTAGGTTCATTAAAAAATCTTATTTTCAAGAACCACTGGCCAGAAAAGATTACACTTATGTGAAAGCTTCCACACATAGATTCTAAATTGGTCAAATCGCAGCCCCCGTCTGATAATACATTCTTCAAGTTTATGTCTTTGTATCTCTGCGTAACATACTACAATTACTTAAAATTATTACTATTTTGTGATTTTTAAAATGTCTTCTTTTTTTTTCAAATCATAAACTGATTTCTTACAAGTTTATGTAGGAAATACCATCCTCTGGAATCTTCCACAAATGCCTGGTAAGGTACCTCAATTTTTTGTGAGGTAACTTGGTTAAGTAGAAATACTTCAATAACAAATTCTTGGGAAAAATTACATATTATTGAGGAATGTGTCATCTGACTTTTATTTAAGAATATGTGACATTTGCTGATATGATTGAAAATTAGTTACATTTCAACTTAATTTAGGCCACAGGAATTTGCAGTATAATTTATTTGTAAGATGTTACACATTCCTTTCGTAAGTTGCTACACACTATATTAGTCCCCATGAGGACAGTTTTGATTCAACTTATTGCAAACAACTTTGAATCCTACTAACATAGAAAATTCAGTGTACATATAAAAATTCCATTGTGGGTATATGTATGTACATCCATCTGCATTGTGTCACAAAATTTTCTCTTTAAAGTACATATCAATTAGCCGTAATAGGATATGTATCAAAATATATCCAGGGCTCTTCTCAGAATGTAATGTGATATCATGGATATCATCAAATAAATTAGGAAATGTTTTTTCTTATCCTTAGGGAAAATATGTGGTCTGATACGTGTATTACAAAGCCATATTTTTATTCAAGCAAGTAAATTCTGATGGAATAGAAAATTTTAAGGTGTTGTAAAATTACACTCTGAAAGTTTTTCTAATGCTACATTTTTGAAAACAGAGTATAGTGATTGTAACTCAATATCACTTAAAGACTCTTATCTGCTTGCATAAATGTTCACCAAATCCAACACTATTTGAACCCATAGTCTAATCACTATAATGCATTTTAACACTTTTAAACTTTAAAGTTGCATCCTTACAAATGCATTTATAGGGAGTTTTATAGGATATTGCACATTAAAGTTCTTTGATAATATAAATTTGATGGGTTTTGGCATATTTAAGGTCAATGACCAGGACATATGGGCTGAAAGCAGTAAATAATTTTACCCCAGTTCCACTTAACAGAATCCAAACTTGTTCTTTACTAATTTTATCATTTCTTGATACATAATTCATTTTTTAAATAAAGTAAATTTTATATTTGTGAGCACTTTTCTATTTGATACTCTTAAAAAAAAACATAAAAATGTCTTTTTTGGATTATTATACTGATGTCTAAGTGACTTTTGTTTTCTCTCTTTAAAAAAAAACAAACTCTATACTTGCATTACTGTAATGAAATCAGATCAATTTCCTGACATAATATCACCCCCTCCCCCCCCCCCCCCCCCCCCCCCAATTTTGACATTTTTTAGCAGGCTAACATGTTTTATGGTTAGCTACAGATCTGTAGCTCACTAGTCTGAAAAAAAAACCAGTTGGGATGGACTACCAGAGGGCTACAGTGCCACCCATTGAAAAAATGTACAGTGAAAAGTTTGGTACACAAAAATACAGACTTCCTAATGAACCACAACAACAAGGCAAATGTTTGTTAATATTAATTTCAAGCCTTAATAAATCAAACTTTAAAATGATTGAAATCATTGACTTTAAAATGATTACCACAATTACTCATTTCATTTAACAACATAATAACTTGGATGAATGTTGTGGCTGATGGGCTTCTTGTTTTAAATACTTTGGGAAAACTGGTGTTATTTAATAGTTAATTTTATTGTCATTTCATAATTAACATGCAGGTACTTCTTCAATAGAGAACATGACCTGGAACCCTGTTTAATACAGTACTCAAAACAATTGGTTCTTTCTAAGTGCTAATAATCGGAACTAAAAAAATCATGAATCTATCTTATAAGCCTTTCAAAATTTTGGGCAAGAAGCCTCTTAATGATAAAGAATATAATCAACTGAACAAGCCTCTTCAGATTCTGTTACTTTGTCTTGTATTACTATATTGTATAATTATAAATAATTTAAGGAAAGGATATATATAAGGTCTAAGAAAAATGATAGGTTACCTGGTACTACAAAATGCTAATAAAATATAGGTTCAGAAGGTAGGATTTTATTTTATTTTTTTTTTTTTTTACATGAAGTTGAAGTACAGAACTGTTTGACTCCTTGTGAAGCTCACTTTTTTTGCTGAATTTTCCCCCATCTACCCAACAGCTCTCACAGAGTGGTTGAGAATTAAGGACATATAAAACATGTTCAAAGGAAAGCATACAGACATGCTTTTTCCAGATTGTAAATCAGAAAAAAACATTAGGATCGGTGCAAAAATTTAGGTTCAGTTGAGTAACTGTAAACAAACATATTTTTTTCTTGGTCCTGATGATAAAGGTTGGATCAATCAATCAGTAATACTGGAAAGGTTATAAATCTCAGCATTCTTTGGCTGCAGTTCTTCTCATTATAGTGGTCATGATTACGGATTCTCTGACATTTTCTTAAAAAGAAGACATTATTTTAGATGTGCAAAGCATTTTAGATAAGGTAATCATTCACCATCTTTCAACAGAGTTCAAAAAATGTGGGGCAGGAGTTATAACTATACTATGGTTCATGATTAATGAATTAGATCTCATTTGACATCAAGTTTAGAAAAATGTTATGCACCTCCACATTACAAAGAGCTTACTAGTTATTTAGTGTTTTATGACCTTGACCTTCCAGTTGACCTTGACTCTATATTTCCTGATTCTGCCTTTTGTTTGTTTATCTGAAAAAGCTTAATACTGAAATGATTCCATCATGCTGGTTGACTTTTATTGATAGGTGTTTGAGAAAGCACTCTAGACAAGTGGAGTATTTCTGAACTATCACGTTGATTTTCTTTTCTGTGACCTTGACATTTTATTCCTAATTCTGTGTTGAGGTCTTGTATTTTCTTCAATAATTGTGAAGAAATACCTCTTGGTAAAATCATTTCAGGATCATTATCACTTTGTGATCTTGACTTATATATATATATATATATATATATATATATATATATATATATATATATATATATATATATATATATATATATATATATATAAATAATGACTTGAACATTAGATATCTTGGTTTTGTGTATAGTTCATTTTGTGAATACTATAAAACCTGTGTACAAATGTACTTCCAATTTTGGGCAAAATTTATCTTTTATTTTTTCTTCTGTGTACAGTTTATAATGTTTTGATATTTGATTCACGAAAATACAAGAATTTCTACTTATGATATTGAATATAAACATGCCAGTTGAAAGATTGAATAGAGATCAGCATATATTTGTTTATACACTCCCTGAGAAGGAGAAAACCTTAAATGCTATTTTTCTAATAATTGAAAATATTTATACAGTGAAATTAAATTGAAATGCAAAGATACTTGGATTTTTGCCACCCTATACAAAAATGTTGTGAGATTTGATTGTATGACCTTAAAACTTAAATAATACTGTGTATTTTTAAAATTACACAATCTATTCTTTAAAATTGTGTTTGGATATATTTTCAAAACTATTTAATATGCTTTAATCATTCAGGTTGTCCTAAATCACTAAACATGCATTCTGTTCTACTGAGAAAGATCAGAAACGATTTTTGTTTACAGTCACCAAAGTATTTTCCTGTAGGGTAAAATCAAGAGACCAGAGTTTAATCCTGATGTCATAAAATGTCAATATAAAGCAAAAGGATTGACTCCAGGTAAACATCGATCAGTAAATAAATTTTATACAGATCACGAGTGGTTACAAGTGCCACAAATCTGTTGTGATGTCGGCCTGCTACGTTATTGAAAAACTGATTTTAAATATTGCATTGGATAAAAGTGAATATTGATTTTTAACTCTTTTGACCCAATCTTTGAGTCAGGGGCCTAATTTTTCAAAAGAACTTGACTAAGACCAAAAACTTTAGTTAATTGTAAAATTGATGTTTCTATTAAAAATTGTTTGCATAGAAATATCTTTCTAACTTATTTTTAAAAAGGTTTGAACCATTTTCAAATTAATGTAAAAAAGAAAGTTACAGTTGAACTTCGGTATCTCAAACACAGACATCTCAAATACCATTGGATATGTCAAAAGTGATTTGGAAGTCCAAACCTCTTATTCGTTAAGTATTTTACACTGGATATCTCAAATCCTTAGACATCTCAAAGTTTTTTCTTGGCCCCATTGAGTTTGAGATGAGGTTTGACTGTATTTGCAAAATTACATTTTGGCCTAGTCATAAGTTCTTTTGTAAAACGGGGTCCACTGGGTTTTAAATTTTGCTTCCAAAAACTATCTCATATCATCATAGAAAAAATTATTGTGTTTGATGTTTGATTAAAGGAAATATTTTATACAAATTATATAGAAGAATTTTACAAACATTAGTTTAGATATAACTATATACATGGATTGTTTGTCCTCTGTCATGTTTGACTGGGACAGTCACAATCCATTTTTTCAGTGAATAGAATATTTTAAATGATGCCTTTTTTGTGTTGAAAAATGTTAAAGATCAGTAAATAGATAATTCAGGTAGCCTGTTTTGATTAATTTTGAAGAGAGGTGGCTTATAAATGTTTAGAAATCACAGCAGAATTC